CGGCAGCTGCAGCAATGCGGGGCGGGGGGGGGAGAGAAGGGGGGGCTGCAGCGGTAGCAGCAGTAGCGCTAAAGAGAACTTGTCATTAAAGGGAAATTAAACAGGCGTCTAGTAGCATCTTAAAGACTAACACTTTTTTATTCCAGAATAAGCTTTTGTGAGTCGGAGTTCACTTCCTCAGATGCAAGGATACATCCAAAGACGTTCCAATGCACCTGAAGTGAGCGAGCTCTGCTGGAATAAAATTTGGGAGTCCTATAAGTACTACTGTTTTCCTGTTTAATTGTCCTAGAACAGAATTGCACGGCTCATCCCTCGGGGATGATTTTCATATACTGAATGTATTGTCATTGGGGGTTGCTGTATTAATGAGACTGAAGCGGGACTGGCGTTGTCATTGACTTCTGGTGGAACGTGATAGTGGGGGAGGAGGACAATGTGCATGGGAGACTGCTAACTTTTCCCCCAGTTGCCGCACCGACCTTGCTCCTGTACCTGACAAGTGAGGCATCTTGCAACTTATAGCAGGATGGGGAAACTCCACTTGCTTGCACACAGGAGCAGAATCAGTAAAAAGCTGACAACAGTAGGATGTTCGAGGTGCTGAAGATGGTGACCGGAGCGCATGTTACTAGTGCACGCAAGGTGGTGGGTCAGGCCTGTCAACAAATCCTGCCACCAAAGCCACCCTTCCTGTATCTCTTTTGTAATGGAGTAGGGCTGCAACTGGTGTTCCACAGGAAACCTTCACTTGCTGATCTCTGTGGGAGACTGCATATCATTTGCAGTTTTAATCGCTGTATTTATTATTTACTTCATTTAAAGTCCACTTTTCTTGCTGAGACTCAAGGTAGGTTACAAAATTAGAAGACAATGGAATAAAAACAGTATAATACAGTGCAATAAAATTGCATATATATATATATATATACATATATCTATAGTACACATTGTTGTCGTTCAGTCGCACAGTCGAGTCCGACTCTTTGCGACCGCATGGACCAGATCACGCCAGGCCCTCCTGTCTTCCGCCGTCCTCTGAAGTTGGCTCAATTTCTTGTTCATTGCATCTATGACACTGTCTAACCATCTCATCCTTTGCCGTCCCTGTCTTCTTTGACCTTCAATCTTTCCCAGCATCAGGGTCTTCTCCAGTGAGTGCTCCCTTCTCATTTGGTGGCCAAAGTATTTGAGCTTCAGTTTCATTATCTGGCCTTCCAGGGAACAGTCAGGGTTGATTTCTTTTACACACACACGCACATTAAGACAACAGCCTTGTTAATAAAGTGCACAATCACAGCATTTGGCTTCCTGTCTTAGTGGGGCAAGGCAGATACAGAGGCTCTGGCACAGAGAAGCAATCCATGTGATCAGCAATCCATGAGTTTAGAGGATGGGCCCAATCCAGAAATGTGTGTGATGCATCCAACCGTTGGTTGGATGGCTGGCATGGTCTACTTATACAGGGGAACCTGAATGCAATCCTTCCACTTCCTACATCAGGGATCGTGTGGTACATGTCTCACGTCTTGCTTCTTCCACATCAGGAGATGGAAAGAAGGGATGGGTCCCACAGTACTTGGCAAAGTGGACAAATGGGACACACTTTAGGGTTCTCAACAACCTATAGTTTTTTTCCCCTTGCCTCTTTAACAGAGGCTTAATGTGATGTTATTTGCCAGGTAATGTTATTTACCTCTGTGCCATTAAAATTTTTAACTGCCCTTGTCTGCACATTCAGCTTCTGTTAAAGGGGCAAGACATTTTCCTCCAAGTTGCTAGCAACCCTAGCTGAGTTTTAACCCTTCTACCATGAGCCCATTTGCGGAGATGGAAAAGCATGCTATAAATAGCTTAAATTTTAAAAATAAAAAAATGTATTAGTTAATAAAACACATGTTTTTAACTCTCTTGACTGCTTCTAGTATTCCAGTCCTCAGTGAAAGGCTCAAAATATACTGGGTTTGAGTTATATAGGAATAAATCCAACTGAGCCCGTTCACGGGAAGGGTGGGGTATAAATGCAATGAAATAAATAAATAAAAACTCTGCCCCCTTCTACAGACTTTACATTGCGCTTATTTGCAGAGCTTGTTGTACAGGAACAGTGTAGTATGAATGCCCCAGTATTTCTGAGCCCATGCTGATACTTGCAGAACAGTAAACGTTAGTCCACAGCCCAAATCTTGTGGCATGCTGGCAGTTATCAACTAGCATGGCACAGTGCTGATCGGCTACTGGCCTGCTGCTTTTTGCCGGCACAGAGAAGCCCTTAGGAATAGACAGGAACTGCTAATGGACTCAGAGGATCGGTTTGGTACAGATTTTATTTTGAAGTGATGTTGTACTGGAGAAATATATTTTGGCAGTTGATTTGAAGGAGGGGTTGCTGCTTATTGTGTGTATATTCATCCCATGTTCACCACCGGCAAACAGATTTTGGAGTCAGTACAGAAAACTGCAAAATATGATTGACTAGAAGCAACACTGGCATAAAATAAATGCATGTTTACACTGTGGGAAGTGATATCAAAGTCACCTTTAACTAATAGCCTGAGTTGTCTTTTCTACAAATAAAACTAGGTAGCCTTGGGTCAGTCACTCACTCACTCTCAGCCTAACCTGCCTCACAGGGTGGTTGTGAGGATAAAACAGAGAAGAAAATAACAATGTAAGGTGTATTGAGGCCCCTCTGGGGAGAAAAGCAGGGTAGCTAACACAGTCCTCACTAGCTGCTCCCACATGGAGGCAATTCTCTATATAACTCTCATTGCTGCTGCAAAGGCAGAAGCTTCTGTAGTGGCAACAGAGCACACAAACAGCAGTTTTACATGCACTTTCCTTGTCTTAGGGTCCTCATAGGCTATATTTCTTTCACTTTTCTGGAAGAGTAAAAAAACCAGGAATTACTAGACTACTATGGTATTATGTTACTAGAAATAATGCCCGTTGCGGAAATAAATACAACGAGATCTAGAAAGAGGCTCTGGGAGAGTGCTCTGGCTTTGGGCAAACAGTGTCAGTTTCCTGTGGCGACCTCAGCAGGGTTTAATGACAGAGTCCACTGTTTTCTCCAGAGGGTCTGATCTCTGCTATCTGAAGAGCATTTGTATGTTTGAGTTATCTGTAGCCCTCACCTGGAGAGTGGTAACCATTGTTACCCATTCTCCTCTCCCCTATGAGGTATGTTATGCAACTGAAAATTCCAACTGCCTTGCGGGGGGGGGGAGTTTGAGGTGTGCAATGGACTGAAGTCCAATCAGCTTCCATATGCAAAAGACCAGATTGTCACAGCAGTTGTGGTGTGGGCGGGACCCGGGCTTTGCCTTCTGATTGGTGGCGATATATGCTGAGGAGCAGTGCCATCAGCCATACACTAAGGGAGTGCATTTTAGAATTAGAACTTTGGCACCCACTATTCAATTATATATAAGGAGAGATACCAATTGCTACAATGTACCAGTTTCCAGTTTGAATTTTTATAAAAAAGGTAACTCCAGCCCTTTTCATTCTGAAGTTAAAAGAGAAAACACGAAGCCTGCACATTTTGCCTTATAATCCACAAGGCACAGGGCTAGATACTTCTTTAACGAAAGCTGGAAACTAGTGTGCTGTTGGAATAGATCACCTTAACATTATTCCATCACAGTGATCTATTAATTTCCAATTCAGGATTTTAAAAAAATCCTGCAAAACCCATCCAGTAAGAGAGGAAGAAATGACAGCTATGGGGACTGATATAAGCAAAATGATACCAATGTAGGCTGGGCCTGCAGAAATGCACACCTTCCCATACACACAGAGTCCTAAGGCACTTGGACTGTGATCTTTCCAAAAAGATAGTTCCATACCAAGTTTATGAAAGACTGCAGCACTGCAGGAGAAAACATGGAAAATACTGTGCTAGATAAGACTACTGCATTATTTTAATAAACTGTAGAGTTGAAAGTCTTTATCTTATTGTTGACAACTTGATTCCAGTACTTAAAATATAATTGTAGTTTGACTCGACTCTACAAGCACCCAGTTGAAGCTCATCTCATGTGTGTCTTCCTCAGAAGTCGCAAGCTTCTCTGATGTGTGATAACTCAGTCTGGAACCTACTCTTATATTGACAGCCAATAAAAACACTTTCAGTAGGAACAAAGGCCCTTCAGCATTCATAAACATTGGCACAAAGGTTTCAACTGTACAGTTCATCTATTGGAAATTAGTTGCTAGTTATATGATAAGAATTTTTGTTCTAAGTCATTAAGGAATTGTAAATGATCGATGGTTCTACAGCGATTTGTCCACATTGTGGGGAAATACAAGAAACTGTGATTTTGTTTAATGTGGTTATTCTTAGATATGTTATAAAAGACAACAATAGTATAATAGAGTAACAAAATGAGCATAAATTTTTCAATAGAGCTTTGTTAAAATCACACAGTAGTCTTATCTATCATAGTGTTTTTCTCTGTTTTGTGTACTTCACACTGTGGTCCCCTTTTTGTTTGGAGAAAACACAGAAGCAGGACAAATAGAGGATGTTGTGATATATGCGCTCCCAGGGGTCATTTAATAGAAAAAGAGGCACAGGCACTCATTAGCATAACTTATTTGCATATGCCACACCCCCTGACATCACCAGACGTTTGTCAGAAGGCAACACGCACCGCTCAGGCTCCACTGGACTGTTTTGGATTGCTAGCTATTGGGGGGGGGGGACATGCCGATCTGTCCTCACAGAGGAGGGAGAGCTTGTACCTGAATAACACTTGGTCTTA